GCTCGCATATTTTGTTGACAATAATGCGATCAAAGTGCCCAAAATTCAGACGGTCTGATTCACAAATTACGTTTTGCACATCTCCGCGAATGATGCTAATGAGGCAGTTGTCTGGGACGGATTCAATGAATGCCTGATATTGATTGTGGTTTTATTTATCTGGCTTTTTTCGACCTCGGCAACTGAATTAAAAACTTCGCTATCATCTGAATTCCCTCCGCCCAGATCTGTTCTTACCATGTGATATTATTGGACAAGCCCATGTGGTCCATCCGTACATGTTTGCTGACTGAAAGTAAACTGTTCAGATTTGATCAATAGATGTCCTCATTTTTTCCCCTCCTTTTCGTCCCAATCTGCAGATATGACTTTTCTCCATGGGATGTGGAAGAACAAAATGAGATTGCAACAGTTTGCTACATGGTGTATGATTTGGCCGGAAATCTGCCGTGAGTTTTTACTCTTCCACGGATCAAATGCCAAACAATTGTTAGCCCCACAAGAAGGCTTCGCCTCAGTTTATGCACAATTACTTTCATTGAAAATGTCCTGGAATAAACAGGCGATTTATTGTGAATGTTAATGTTATAATGTTAATAACACAGCGATGTCCGCAGAGAATTATATTCGCCGACGTTTCGGTTACCGTGGGTAATCTTTCTCACGGCAGATTTTACAATCAAATGACTCAGAGGAAAAACAGGCGATTTATCAATCAGAAACTTTTGTTAAGTTGTACTCATAAAAAATATTCATGCTCTGAGTGATAGCACAAACCTTAGTCCTCTGATACTTCATATCCCCCGCAACTATGTTCTTTCTCAGGTTAGTATAAATTGGGATTCATTACTGTGAAAAAGAGGAATTCATTGCAATGTGATAGAGATTACCTCTCAGTCTAGTTTTATTTTTGAATAGAACTACTTATTTTCAGCATCTCTCTTATCGAATATTGTTGTCTAAAATATAAATGTGTGAGATAAAGCTGGTATTGAGTTAGTTGAGTTGCAAGACTGTCGAAGTTATATATGACAGGTTATCTAACTCGGTTCATGAAGACTGATACATAGCAATTACAGTTTCTCGGAACAACGACGATTCACCAAACTCTACCGCTTCTATCTGTGCTTATTCAATTCCCCATTCTTGTGGAAAAACTCATATAGTCGGTAGAATCACATGCAAATCTAACGGATCTGTTAGCATAGTTTTTGGTGTAACAAAGCAATGATATATTTAAGTCACTCTCCAGACTGTTCTCCTTTCTCCTGTGTACTCACTATTTCTTCTTCGTAGCTTTTCTGGATTCTCATCCGTGTTTCGTTAAAGGGTTGATAAAATTCCAAACAAACATGACACTGCAAGGGATTAGTTATGTTAAATGAATTAAGTAATTGTACCATCAAATTCGGCCAATATTTTAATTCAAATGTGATGTTAGCTGTTCCCATAAAGTAATTTCATTTTGTGATGCTATAATGCCAAAAAAAATCCAGTGTGCCGTAACCACAAGGGACTATTTAACTGATGTCTTAAGGAGTTACGTGGCAAGGACAGGTGGAAATTAGCCAAAGCATATACATGTTTACTCGCTAAATAATTTGAAGATAACTATCGGATAACATCGAAATCACGAGGCATTTGCTTTGAAGGCCAGGAGTTTGAAGTTCTTCCGGGCAGAGTAAGTTACGAGATGTCCCACTCAACCTGATCTATCTCTACTACAAGTAGCGTTGATTCCAGTGCAACACAATAAGGTAAGATGGAATAAAGTAGTTTGTCATAAGGAATTGACGAATGGATTTTCTCCATTGAGGAAGCGTGATGAGTGATTAATACTCAAATCATGGAACAATGTGACATGAAGTTGTGCCTAAGGAAGTATGGGGAGGTTTGCCAACGATTTGACAAATCTTCAAACCCTTGGAATACTTATAGCTACCCGCGATGTTATTATGCATTACGTCACCTTGCGCCGCTTTTTCTTTGAACAAAACATTACTCTAACTGNCACACACACACACACACACGTTCTCTTGCTCACTGTTACTCACGGGTGATATAGGTGACAAATGCTATCCGGGTTCGGAATGTTTCTAACCGAATCATGGCCACGGTAACTATTCAGTACTGAAACTAGGGGGTGTTTTAATGATCTGTACTGTACTGTGTGCATAGACGAATCCCAGAACGTTCTGACCAGCGACTCAGTGTTAAAGCTAGTTAGACGCTTACCTGGTTTGATCCTCATGGATTGGCACAGTACTGATGAGTGCGACCCAACCAAATGGAAATAGCTGTATGTACAGTGTTGTTTAGCTTCTAAGGCCAGTCCTCATTCGCTCTGTTCACGATGAAATCAAATCCTATCAAACTATGCTGATTGCCTGAGATGTAAGCATCTTCACTGTATTATTGCATCACTCCAATGCAGACTACCCCTTTCTTCCGTTTCTTCTGAAATCGTCTACTTTGGATTCACATTACGGGAAGAGGACAAAAATAGATCGTCGGTGTTTGAACACCGTTGTCTACCCAACATTACACGAATCTGGTGGGACAGCCGGACGAGCAATGCTGAGATTACGCGTCGAGTTTTAGGTAATTGCGTTTGCCCACCAGAACAAGTGGTCGACCACATTAGATTACGTTGTTTGGGGCATGTGTTATGCATGTCACCGAATAGGTTTCCACAGCGAGCGATGTTCACCGAGGCAGGTAATGGTTGAAAAAAGATCAAGAGAACCTAACCAGATGACTAGATCACATAGGTCCCGTTAGGCTTCCTGGCTGGGAACTTCGAGATCATGCTAATCGGTGGATAGAGACACTGAATGAAATGGCTGGATGTCGCAAACAGTGACACTCATACATCTACTCATTATTATTGTAACTTCAGTCTACATGAATTCGCTTGAATTTGCTGTCAATATTCCAATATTCATTCTGCCGTTTCATCCAAATGGGCAACCTAAAGGAAGCAAAGAAAACCGACACACGAAAGTGCATGGTTAATGGTTATAAGAACTGAACTGAACTGAACTTTTGATCCGTTGGTATAACTTTACGTTAAACACTTGAGATAGTATTATGCTTCCGGTTCACATTGTCACAGCACCACGCCGGTTTTTATCTACCGTCTCCCCTACCCCCCCCCC